CTCTTTCATTTTGTTGTTGCGGATGGCTGATTCTGTGGCTGTGATCATCTCCACCAGAGGAATTCTACTTGGCGCAACTGCAAAGTTCAGTCCCCTGGCAAGAATCTGTCTCTCACTGGGTGAGCTGTCTGTCAGATAAATTCTTCACCCACTTTTCTGTCTCCCTGGCATGTAATTGACTACTGGAATGTTGTCTTACACTGAATGTGTTGCTATGGGAATAGTGATGGTGTTGATGAGTTATTAGTAAGTTAAACTTGTTTTGCTGTCGAGTCTTGGACTTGACATGCTGTGCTAAGCGTGCCTGATCTGTACAGTCCAACACTTGCTGAAGTGTGGTCTGATGTAGACACGTTGTTAGTTTCTGTTTAATGTGCTCTTCTTTGGCCTTCAAGGCCTCAATAGTAAAATTGGTCTGTCTCACCCGTTCATTCAGTAGCTGGGTCTATGCCTTATCAAGGATCTTGCTTGCCCGGTGCCCGCTGACCGATGATTTTAGTTCCAGGCTCTTGGGAATGATGCCACTTTGTCGACATCGGAGGTTGAATCGCAAGTGGTTCCTGTAGTCTGCCCTCTTCCAGGGACCAGATTGAAAATTTTTGGATTTTTCTACCTGGATTATTGAGCATGTATCAGGATATACTGAGCAATTCTTCTCTACCCCGAACAGCAAATGTGATCATTCAGTCTGCTGTGGGTGTTAAAGGTGTGAACAGCCTCAAAAGCCTCATTTCCATAGGTCCTGATCGGCTCGGCACTTATTGGGCTGGTACAGGTCGGATCGCTTCATTTTCTGTTTCGACAGTGTCCATTAGTGCCCCTTTATGCTTTTAGTACCGGCTCCAGTGGGCGGGGTTCAAATTGATGTCACGCTCTCACCAGCTGGTGGCGCTGAGAAGATGAAACAGGTTTCATATACAGTGAGAATTTATTTTGAAGTTTCTAGAAAATTAAAAAGAATACAGATTATTTACATGATCAAATTAAACTATATATATATATATATATATATATATATATATATATATATACATATATACATACATACATACATATATACATACATACATATATATACATACATACAGGTCCTTCTCAAAAAATTAGCATATTGTGATAAAGGTCATTATTTTCCATAATGTAATGATAAAAATGAAACTTTCATATATTTCAGATTCATTGCACACCAACTGAAATATTTCAGGTCTTTAATTGTTTTAATACTGATGATTATGGCATACAGCTCATGAAAACCCAAAATGCCTGTCCCAAAAAATTAGCATATCATGAAAAGGTTCTCTAAACAAGCTATTAACCTAACCATCTGAATCAACGACGTAACTCTATAAACACCTGCAAAAGATTCCTAAGGCTTTTAAAAACTCCCAGCCTTGTTCATTACTCAAAACCGCAATCATGGGTAAGACTGCCGACCTGACTGCTGTCCAGAAGGCCATCATTGACACTCTCAAGCAAGAGGGTAAGACACTGAAAGAAATTGCTGAACGAATAAGCTGTTCCCAGAGTGCTGTATCAAGGCACCTCAGTGGGAAGTCTGTGGGAAGGGAAAAGTGTGGCAGAAAACACTGCACAACGAGAAGAGGTCACCGGACCCTGAGGAGGATTGTGGAGAAGGGCCGATTCCAGACCTTGGGGGACCTGCGGAAGCAGTGGACTGAGTCTGGAGTAGAAACATCCAGAGCCACCGTGCACAGGCATGTGCAGGAAATGGGCTACAGGTGCCGCATTCCCCAGGTCAAGCCACTTTTGAACAAGAGACTGCGTCAGAAGCATCTCACCTGGGACTGCTGCTGAGTGGTCCAAAGTTATGTTCTCTGATTACAGTAAATTTTGCATTTCCTTTGGAAATCAAGGTCCCAGAGTCAGGAGGAAGAGAGGAGACACAGAATTCACATTGCTTGAGGTCCAGTGTCAAGTTTCCGCAGTCAGTGGGGTGTCATGTCATCTGCTGGTGTTGGTCCACGGTGTTTTATCAAGGTCAATGCAGCTAGCTATCAGGAGATTTTGGAGCACTTCATGCTTCCATCTGCTGAAAAGCTTTATGGAGATGAAGATTTCATTTTTCAGCACGACCTGGCACCTTCTCACAGTGCCAAAACCACTGGTAAATGGTTTACTGACCATGGTATTACTGTGCTCAATTGGCCTGCCAACTCTCCTGACCTGAACCCCATAGAGAACCTGTGGGATATTGTGAAGAGAAAGTTGAGAGACG